TAAAATATGCAGATGTCGCGTCACATAGTTTTACATTCGTAGTGTTTTTGTATAATTTTTTTCCCGGGATTTAAGCATATAACTATGATTAATTCAACAATTTAAATTCGTATAAAAATTGCATTACGCGTTCTTTATTGTATAATTATATATGTAGGTGTATTCAGTATATTAATTTTAATGAAAATTGGATTAAAAATCAATCAAAAATAATTCTCATATATTTTTATGTAATAGATTATAAAGTGAAGATATATATAGTTAATAAAATATCAGTTAATACCTACCTAATATTAAATTTGCATTAGAATTAAAAAAAAAAAAATAATATACATAAATACAATGTGTGATGATACGGTTATATTAGGTATTTTAAAAAAATTTTAATACATGGATAATTATTAAAAATGTTTTAAGTATTCAATAGATATTAAATTTTGCATATTTTCTCATTAGGATTAGATTCAAGTGTATTTTACATAGGTAGCTGTTTTCTTTAAACAAATTAATCAAAATATATTATGAAATTGCATAAAAATAAATTTCAATAAATTATTGATATTATAATCCTAATATCTCATGATATAATTTAATTTAAATTACAGTTATATATAAAATAAATTAATCTATTTTTTGTGTAATCAACAGATGACTGACAACTGATAAGGTATAGGTTTCCCGGAAATAAAATTATTGCGTGATTAGTTTTAAAAATGATTTGAAAAAATGTATTTGGTATTAAGTATTTTAAATATCTTGGACGTATTTAAATTTAAAAATCGAATACTTTCATGTAAATAATTTTCAAAATTTAAAAGAATCATTCGACTATCTTTAAATTGTTTTTGATAATCGTTTTATTATTTTATTTATAATTAAAATCAAATAATTAAACATTTATTTAAATTTTTATTTATTTTATATTTTATTAACAATACCGTTTATTTTTTATTGTAATATTAAAGAATTTTATAATTAAAATATAAAAAATTGTTATTTATTTTCAATTTTTAGTAGCCAGTAGGAAAATAATGAAGTTAATAGCTCAAAGTTTAAAATTCTATAATAATACTTAAATGTAACTATTAAAAAATTAATTATTTTACATAATATATACGTGTACAATTGAAAAAATAAATATTTTGAAAGTTTTGAAATGCATGCCAAATATTTGTATTTGTTTTTAAATATTATTTCGTAAAATTGTTTGAAATTTATTTTAAGTATTTTCTGAGTGGATATATCTGTATCTGTATTTAAAAAATACATATGTTTAAAAGACTGAGCTCAACAATGCGACATTGGAGTATATATAGGTATACCTATATATTTATTAAATAAAGTAATATTTTTACATTTATAGTCCATTAATAATACTAAAATATTATATACAATATATTATTGTTCTGAAAATCTCAGCAATATAAATAACACTGCAGACTAATGTACTATCGATAATTTTTCAATTTTCAACAATTTGATAGACATTCATTTATTTGTTTTACACTTATAATTTTCTATTGTTTTTCTATTTATACGTATATATGAGGCGTTTATTTTATTAATTTAGTATATCTATATTACTTATTTTTTTTAAGGTAAAAATATAAGACATTGTCTTTGTATACATCTATTAAAAAAAGTGTTTATTGTTTTGATAAATAAATGTAGTATTGCCATAAAACAATAAAACGTGGAATAATATAATATAACAAGCGATTAGTGGATGGATAGAATCTACGGCATGCTGTAGAAAGGATAGGAGTGTAACAATTCACCCAATAGGATTGTCGTTCGTTCAATTATTCTTGGTAATGGTAACCATCTCCATGACCACCGACATCAGTCTGTAGATATCTGTTTTGCACGCGGCACGCCTCCACTACCTTAGACTGGAAGTTCTGAAGATGTACAACAGGTTATAAACAGAAGGCATACGTCTCTCCGTCGTAGCGTACTAACACATCGACAAACGTGAGCGATTAAATTATCTCAATCGTTGGATAAGTGATTTTGGCGTTTAACGATACAATCAATCTAAATCAAATTGACCGATAGCCGTTAAAGGATAAGAATCTGTTCATTAAACAAAACATGTTTACGGTGAGTATCAAATATTTATTTAGAAACAATAAAATTATGATTTTACTAATATTTTATAATAGTTATAACGATATTCGTTGTTTATCGGGTTAAATTAACTGCACACGTGACATAACTATATAAATTTATTATTTCAACTTTTCTCCTTCTTCGTACCGTGTTAACTTAAAACTCGCGAGAGTTTATGTGTGATGGATGATAAATCGCGAGCTATCGGAATGATAACCCGTTATGTATAGCTAATTTAAACAATATAGTTGTTTGGTGTTCCCGTGGTAGATGGTAGTTTGGAACTCGCTGAAGCCTAATTTGGTGACCGGGCGTGCGTATTATTAAATCATATATATTATGCTCTCTAGTCCTGACCCGAAACACTACTATTTATTAGTACCTATGTAGGTTTATTAGTTATTACCTACTCGTTTAAAGTTCATAATTTTGTTAAATTTGTTTTATTTTATTTATATGGGCGTAGGACGTTCGCGCATCGCTATTGTTACCAATTACCTTTTTTGTAGGCCGTTTGCGCATCGCTATTGTTAAAAAAAAGCTTAGATTGTTTTCCTATATAACATAACAATTTTTATTAATTATTATTACGTAAATTATGATTTCAATAATTACAAAACTATAAATGTATACAAAAATAATCGTCAATATTCAAAAAAAAAAAAAATTAATACTTTTGAACGTATACTACCATATTATTTTATCATCTAAAGAGATAAGATTCGTTATAAATTGCTAATAAATTACTCATTATTTACGTTTATAAAAAAAAATACAAAATTATTAAAACATAAATATAATCTAAATATGTTTAAATCTGTGTCCCAGTATATTTAAAAATTGTTGTCGATTTATTTCCCCACTCGTATACTTAAAATAATGTTTATTTACGAATTGTCTATTTTTTATTTCTTTGTTTCTTAAATGGGTTGACTATCTTCATTCATTTTAATATTTGTTTCCACTCGAATTTACAACTGTGGTTTCTAAACTTATAACTCATAAGTCATCAGTTATTAATATTGTCGTAACCTATATGTTATCGGTGTATCATCCGGTCATGCATGTCGCTATAGTAGGTAGCCTTTTTGTTTTTAATTTTCGCGATGCGCAAACGACCAATTAAATTTTTTACCTGAAGTACTAATGATGCGCAAACGGGCGTATATCGATTCCGCCGGCTACTGTTTATAATATCTATATATTGATTCCGCCGGCTACTGTTTATCGGTGAACGAAAATTTGCTGTGTCGTACATGTGTAAGACATATTAATTAATATTATTAAATAATATTAATTAGAATATACATTTTAATTTTTATTTATACAATTACTATTATCATTAATATAATCACATACACGTATTAATTAGGATACACATTTTAATTTTGAATTATATATTTATACAATTATTATTATCATTTTATACAATTTAGACCATACATTTTAATATTTTTTAATATATTCACATAAATATTAATATTAATAATTACTGTTTTTTTTCATAAAAATTAAAAATTTTGTAATACTTTAAATAGAAATTTAATAATATTTATTGTTGATTTATTTTATCATAATAATAAAAATATTTGGATAATTAAATACTATACATTTTTTATTTATTTATTTATAGAAGGTTCAATTCATTTTTTTATTTTTATGGTGACGTAAAATAAAAAAGTTTGGAAACTGTTGCTATATATTTAAAAATACATATTCAAGGGGGGCATAAACAGTGTCTAGCAGAATCGATGTGTCATGTGTGGATATTATAAACAGTAGCCGGCGGAATCGATAAGTAAATATTATAAACAGTAGCTGGCGGAATCGATATGTAGATATTTTAAACAGTAGCCGGCGGAATTAATTGCTGACGGAATCAATACAAACCTTTTTCCTAAACAGGTAGTTTCGGCGAAATCAATAATTAACGACAAACACCGATTTATATTACCGCGTTAAAGTCATAACATACTATAAATTATAATTAATTAATTATAATAATTAATAAATAATATAGTATAATAAATTATAAATAATAATAACGACACTTTTTGGCTCAACAGGTAAAATATAATAAAATATGTAGCCCTTTTGGGTCAATAATAATAATAATAATAATAATATAGGTACAATATGTATGTAGTAAATAATATATAAGAAAATATATCACTTCTGGTTCAACAACGATAATGTAATAATAAATAATAATGGATAATAATATATGTGAAAATAACAATAATAATCAAAAACTCACAATAATTTGTGGAGCGCAGATTGGCCAGTTGCTACCTTAGCTATGAAATAAAATTGACACACACAATACAAAAATAATTTACAAGAGTACCTACAAAGAAAATTACGACAATTTGCACCCAGATATATAATATTAAAGAGAAAAATGTATGGGCGATTCGCGCTTATACAATAATATAGAAAAAGGTGGCGATTTGCGCACATATACAATCACATATTATAAAACACGTAGCGATTAGCGTCTACATAATACAAGAAAAAAGATGGCAATTAGCGCCAATACAGTATAATATAAAAAACGTATAAAATAATAATTGTTTAGTCTTAACACTCTTAACGCACTTACAATGGTATTCATAATTAAATAATTCACACTGACAATAACATATAATACAAAAATAAACATAACAATAAAACGGCTAGTGCGCGCGAATGTGTGTGTGTGTGACGATCGGTCGGCGACGGCCGTGAATAATTTATTGATCTATTTAGTATTTATGAATTGCTGCGATATCGATGTAACAGCATCGGCGGCGACGTGAACAATAATAGTACTAAGTTTATAGTACTATATTATATATATATGATATGGTAAGTACTAAGTATTTAAACTTTTTTTTTAATGATTACAGTTTATAAAAAGCAGAATGAGTTCCTCGATATCCATACAACTGTTGATTTGTTTTTTGATATTCTTACCATCGTGTTGTATAGGATTTAAAGATCCTTGTAAGACTCAAGATCGTCATAATCTTAAATTGTGTGAAGAAGGTATAAATAATAATTTAAACTTTAGTTTTGATTTTCCTTTTGCAAATTAGTAACCACGGTATCTATAGTTTCAGCGACAAAATACAAAAACTGGTACAGAAATCTTAAAATCTATGAAATAGAAGAAGAAATTCAAAAAAATATCGAAAGAATGAATTTTAACCGTTTTAATGAGGATTTCATAATAACACAAATTAGTGATCATTTGAAAATTGGAAGCAGCCCGTTTCGTGGACAACTCATCGATTCGCAGCCTTCCAAAGAAGGAAATTTAAAATATCGGAATGCTGAACTTCTAGTTGCAATTTCACGCAGTATAAAAAGTGCATATTGCCTAAAGTAAAAGAACACGATAAATATTTTAATGACAAAAAATAAATAAATATTTAATTATAATATTTATAAATTAAATTACTATTTCAGGCATAGTGATATACAGTGTGCCAAAGATTTATCGAACCTGAAACTAAACAAGACATCATTGAGTGAAATATGTTTTTCCGAGTATTTCAATCTAACCGAGTGCACCGGGAGGAACTTGGCGTTTCGAAGTGCTGATGGCACTTGCAACAACTTAAAACGCTCCTATTTAGGAAAGGCAACCTCAGCTTATAAACGTTTGCTGTTTCCAGCTTACACAGACGGTAATATTATGTCTTAAACCTTAAACGTTTGTATGACAATTATTAGTCGTAACATAATATACTTTTATCATTAATTTTTCAAGAACTTTATATTACTTCTTTAAGCACCTGCTATTTTCTATAATATGTATATTTATCACGTATTATAATTTAAATGTATACGGATCTAATGCTGTTATTTCATTGATTGTTTGTACAGGTATTAAAGAGATTTCGGAACTACTGCCCAATCCTAGAAAATTGAGCATAGGTCTTGTCAATGACGAGCAGTCGCCCGACAACATAAAATCGATGGCAATGGCGTATTGGGGAATTTTCATTGGCCACGATCTATCACGCACGGCAGTTCACAGCATGGGTAGGATAAAACATATAATATCCGTATATTATATTGATTGTAATTATTAATGTACGTGTATGTATATACAATCCATAGGGACTAATAACACATTTGTGAAATGTTGTAATGAGGATAACGGAATGATGCACTATACTTTGAACAAATACGTCGAGTCGTGCAATCCCATACCGATACCGACAGATGACGTATTTTACGAACCAAAATTGCAATCATGCATGAACTACGTGCGTTCAGTGCCAGCGATGCGTTCCGACTGCACATTTGGACACATTGAACAAGTAACAATCATATTAAATAATACCATATCGATAAACTTTTATATTTTTACTAAACAAATAAAATGAAGTAAATACAAATATAATTACACGCAATGCAGCCAATTTGAGATAGAGCTTTGAGAGTACCTAACTAGAATAGTGTCAATCTCTATAAAAACGTTTTCGTATACATAAAATCATTTATTTTAAGTAAATAATAATAATAATAGTAATATTTTTTATTTAGCAATTTTGAGATTATTAACATGATACTGTTATTTTAAAATTACACCGCAACGTTTATTACTTATAAAATGTCATTATAGTATTTTCAAAAATGTTATATTATAATAATATAATATTAATATTCCCATAACTCGTCAAATACATTGAACACTCGTACAAGTAACCAAGTACACTGTTCCCACCTGGCTGTAGTGTATAGACGTATAGTTAATTTAACGATTTACTTCGTTTTACATTTATCAATAACTATCTCTTTATTAATCATTTAGAAATTTAAAACTGTTGACAATTTTGAAATAAACGGTGTGCTTAAAGTTGCGTACACACTTGTAACATTTGCGCGTAACGTAACGTAGACGCATAACAGCAATAGATGTGCGGACGACGTAAAGGCACCGTAAACGTAACACCGTTAAGTAACAAAATTTGATACGCAAGGAAGTTAAATCGCGTTCTTCGAGTCGGAAAATTCGAGTCGTATTAAAAGATTGTTGCTTAATGAGGTTACGACTTACGAATTGTGCGTCTACGTTACGTTATACGCAAATGTTACAAGTGTGTATGTTATACGCAGCTTTTGTTTTCTCTCTCTGGCCCATGCGTAATATTGATAAAATGCATTAACGTAGATTCATTTTTTTAATGTTTTTAAGTTATTATAGATATATATTACTAAAATGATATAGAGGATAATATTTTTGAAAATTTAATACCTATGTTGGATTTATATTTTATTATTATTTGACTTGAGAGTCGCACCCACAAGTGTTGTTACGTCTAGTAAATTTTCGTTCACCAGTTTTAATAGTGTGCTTTAATTTAAGATTGTACTATTATTTCGCAAGTTATCGATGCGATAATCAAATAGATTTTATTGCCCACCTGCGACCTCTCTTCTGGGGTCGATGGCCTATAGTGCTATTTAAAATCGATTGCCCGACAAAACGAATTAGTAGGTCAACGGTTCTAAAATCACGTATCTTTACGGATTAACCGCCGTAAAGATTACGTATAGATATTGCCCTATCTCAGGTGATATAGGCGCTGGTCATAATTTCGAATAGTATATTTTTGGTGTTGTCGGAGACACCGGCAAAGGAAAGTGTCTTCTCGGTGCGACGCCTTCGTGGTCAAGTTGTCAACGTTGCCGCTCAGACCGTCTTGTGAACAGTGTCCAAGATCCAAGTGTGCGCCCGTTTTAGATTTTTACCGCATAGGTCGGTTTTCTTGTGTTTGAAATCAAAACGGTTAACCTCTCCGTTCCGAACCGTATATATATATATATCGTTGTCGCGATCTCCGCACTTCGTTAAACTTAAATATATATATACATTGTATTGGCGGTCTTAGTTGGTACTGACACAGATATATACTAATACTAGATAGCCGTCTTCGTATACACCGTCGCAAAATTGAAACCACATATGCAAAGAATACAACCGGTAAACAAACGTTATCAATATTAGACTTTTACTAGTATAATACATATTATTATATTATAGAATTTATTTATATCACTATTACTTAGTACTCACTATATTTTATTATTTCACTTTTCAGTTCTCTGTTTATAGTATTGGACAAAACTGTTAATTAACCTATACAATATTATTTATACTAATTTGGATTTAATCAATTGTAATGTTTAGTGAATTATGAAATATGAAATAAAACATTGTCAAAAATACTAGGATATAATTACAGGTGTACCAATTATAATTACTTATATTATTAACAAAAGTAACAATTATTAAACAGTAGGTAATACAAAGTAGGTAGGCACTTATTTACCAATGTAGTAATTTATTATTCAACTAGAGCAATACGTACCGGAACGAAGTAATACCGTA